ATTATGCAAACCGCTGTGTGGGCCGATTGTTGGCAATGAGCCGAGACGTGCCGCTGCGGTGCGTATGCGGTTCATTTGTGATTTATTTGTAATTTCTTATTTAATTAGTGGTAATTATGATGAATTTATAAGTTGTATTTCTATTTATTAGAATATTATTGTTCCGCATGTTTTCTTCGTTAAGCTGCCCTAATTTCGTGCTGATTTGAACTGCTTTCGAGGCATTAAAAGCATCGTTTTGAGGAATTCAATTGTATCGTCTCAATTGGATTGATACAATTGAGACGTTCAACGTTTTAAAGTATTTTTTATATCTAAGTATTTTTAAGTTCAACATTTCCTAAGTATATTCAATTTCTAAGTATTTGAATCGCTCCGATGAGTAAATCGCTTTCTAGCAATAAGATACTTAAGAAAAACTTTAACAAAACTGCTCAATTAATCATATAAAGTATTTCTGCATGCATCAAAATGGTCGGCAATATCAGAACAGTGAGTGAAATCATCTCACAACATCATGCTTTCTGTCAGTTTTTTCACCCCCTGTTTTTCATCCTTCATATACTTGGATATGCCTTTGGAACCGGTGATATTAAACCGTGTGTATCAGCATTCGGTGGTGATCAGTTCAATGTACGACACAATCAAATGTTGTCATTATTTTTCTCGACTTCACTATCGATGCTGCATCGACAATTTGCATGCATCACGGAAGCAATCAACAGTTGACTTGTTCGGTGCATTTTGCGGATTCATAACTTTAATTATGAATATTCTCATCAAATTCAGTCAATGAGCCCCACCTGTAATGACTGTTCACTGTATTGTTGACAGATTCCGCCATGCGATTTCTCAAGACACTAACGATTCACTAATCTCAATTCGTAAACACCTATCTTATAACGTTTGTTGATAGTAATGAAATTTTCAGTGATGAGCCAGCACATTCGAATTGAATAACTTTCAGTGCAATTTCTCATCGTTTGCGTTTGGCGGGGGATGTTTGTTCTAAAGGAGCTGAAGATACCCAAATTTTGCTGCTTATCCACAAAAGTAAGTTTTTCCTTAGAGGTTCTATCAACTACCAATTTCTATCTGATTTCTTTAAACGGTGATCTCCAGATACCAGGCGCTAACTCTAACGTCGTGATGCGCTATTCAGTGTATGGGGTCAGGTTTATTATTGATATTTGTCGTGATTTGTTTCTCATTTTCCTTATTCTTCTTTCGTCCCCCTCGTGTCGAATTTCTCACTAGCGTTAGCGTATAACTAAAACTTTGAGCTATAGTTCATTACGTTCTAGCATGTGCAGTAAATATACTGGTTTTGTTTCTGTGAAAATGCATGCGTTAGATTCAAGCGGAACATGTTTGAGATAGGCGTCGTATTATAAACTTAATATTGAATCTGTAGAGTTCGCAGCCTAAGAGGTGAACGATCCGCATTGACGCATTCGACCCCATTTTAAAAAACGTCTTGTGTAAAACATATTCTTAATGAGTGGATGATTAATATCATAACCACGACAAGAAAAATCAAGTTTTCATGATATTGCTCTCCTTAAATTTTTTCATTATATTGCTCTCTATAAAATTCTCGAGTAATATCGAGTAGTAAATTTTTGGCGTGAACATGTAATGAATTTTCATCGATGGTGTCTCCATAAATTGGCATAAACAAGTGGTGAATTTTTACATGTTATGAATTCGGTTTCTGGAAAAGAATAAGTTCTAATCGTAAGAGGAAAGCAACAAGGATTTTGACTGAAGAGATTCCTTTGCTTTAGATTCTTTTGCTTGACGCAAATCTCTTTAACGAGAGACATTTCGACTTATTCGTGGTGAGACTCGTTAGGTCATGTACATCTGTGAATATCCGAAATTGTCGCGATGTTTATCAAGTAATATTCTTTTCAGTTATCCCTCGAAATGCTCATGGCTGTTCACTTGAGTTTGGAAATTACTTCAGTTCAGGATAACTGCAATGAATGTATTGAGAAGGAAATGAAAGCAAAAATGGGTAGCTGTAATAAGGATGGAATGAATTTTGAAGTTGCATCGAAGTGCAGTTGATGTGTAGGTTATGCGCAGTGCCGATCGATACTTTCTCATCTAATCTCATCTATGCATTTTTACTTTGTTTATTGTGCATTTTACTGCGTTTGTCCCATAGTTTACGATTTTGCTTTTGATATGATTTTGGTTTTTTTTNTTTGCAAGAATGAATTTGTTAGCACACCATTTTGATGAAAATCACCATTGTGATAGAAATCATTTTGAATTTGACCCATTGACTCTGAACTACTGGCTTTCTTTTCTAGATCCGTTGAATGTGTTTAGTGTTGACTCGATTATTTACTCATTGATATTACTGCTTTCGTTCTTTATGGATTACTACGATCATTGCAGATAATATTTGTAATTAGCGAAATTTTTCGTTTCGTTTGATTTTCCGAATCGATTCGAAGTGTACCGTGATTCGTTGCGTTACGTCGCGTAACATTGCATTTTGATCGCCCAACTTTATGTTCATCTTTCAGTTGAATTCATTCATTTGAAAGTAATTCTAATTGGCAAAAAACTTATTGATCACAGTGAACGATTACAACTGATCTCGCCATCATGACCACTGAACTTAAACAAAATGAAACTGAACAGGCCACAGCAAACGATAACAAGACAGGTGACTCTAATAGTTTTGTTTGAACGTTACTGAAGCTTTGAGAAAGTAATTCAAGGAATTCTCTCAGTGGATGTTTTATATTATGAGATGAAACATAAAAGTTATTCTGGACAGTCACACAGAAGAGTGTTCTTATATTAGCCGTTGAGAATGCTGAAAGGAAGTGGTACAATTGTGGAGTTGAAGCGAACAGAGTTTTTGATGATTTCAGTTGGTAATGTAGTGACCGTACAAAGTGTGAGCACGATATCGACAGGTCAGAAACGTGTTGGTGATGATCATGGAGCACCAGCCTCCAAGAAGGCGCATATGGTTGATAGCGAAGGTGAGAAAAGTTGAATGTTTCATTTCTCTTAAGTGAAGAACAAAACTGTCATTCATTCGATTAAAAGCTTCAATTTTATTGATAACATCAAGAAGGATACATTAGTTTTTGTTCGATTTCATATTAAATTGTCGTCTGATTTGCAGAAATCGTGCAAGTGAAAGTGCTCATTCCATCGGCAGCTGTTGGTGCAATAATCGGTAAAGGTGGTGAAACAATGCGTAGTCTGAAAAGTGAATCTGGTTGTCGACTGCAAATGAGCAAAAATCAAGAAGTCTATCATGGTTTGTTTTGATGTGCTCTTTGATAAATTTTTTNGGTGACTAGTTGTTTTTCAGGTACAAATGAACGTATTTGTTTGGTGAAAGGAAAGATTGTCTCAGTGCTGAAGGTACTGGATGTGATGATGGAGAAAATCCGTGAAAAAGTGGACCCAAACACTCCGGCGGACGTTTTCGACCACAAGGGCGTTGATCGAACAAAAGAGGTTTGTAGTTACTTTTAGCTGCATAAAATTGTCATTCCACTGATCTTTACTGATCCAGTCAGTCCACTTCTGACATAGCGATGATAGCAATCCATGGACAAGGTTCTTTCAATCTGTATTATTCCTTCGTTGGTAGTTTATACATCAATCGTCATTCAGCTCAACACCACTCGTAATTGATTTGTGTTTTTCATTTTTGATGTTGAGCATCCTCACCATCTGAGTCAGTCCTTAATCTTATCACTGGTGGTTGGTCTTCAAAGCGTAATCAACACTCGTTGATCATTCATGAATCCTTTTCGACTATTCGGTCATATCAGTCAGCTCACCATCTAATAAATCAGATCTGATCGTTATCATTACCAATGCATGTCTAATCCATCCAGTTACAGATTATTGCAGAATATCGTCGCTGCTCTGATGTTTCTGATATATATAACTAATAAATCTTTTCCATATGAATGTGCAAATGTTACATATGTTCATGTTTTCTCTCTTCAAAACATTCCTCATGTGTAAAGAACATTCGATCAGTCAACCCAATCAATCTTTCGTTTCTCATCAATGAAACGAAATCCGTTCCAGTTCTGTCCAGTCGTTCTGTTGTGCTGCTTATTACCGCACAAACTAATTAATTCATTTGCTTACTCATTCAAACATCAATCAATCTTTCCAAGGCATCGTTGAATCTGTGATCAATCGCTTACGTACATATATACATAGATCAAATGTATGCCCCATCCATTGATCGTTATCATGAATCCTTTGATCTGCTCACAACTAAATCACATCGTTATTGTCATCGTTGCCAGTCATGATCAACTCGAGTCGAGTCGTATCTAATCTGAAACTGCCATTTGATTTTATTTCATTCGTTTGGATCGATTTTCTGACAAATCCACCTGATACAAGTAGCATACTTCCAAATTGAAAATGGGTTGATTTGAGTGTACGTAATTGCTATGTTCTTATCAAAGACATACTGTTAAGACATTGTATTTGGTTAGATTGTGCTCACGAAACTGCGATCGTAATGGTTTTAAAGATGAATTGAGGGTTTTTTAAAAGTATTGACAATGAGATTGCAACCCATCGGAATGAATTCATCAAAAAAAAAACATGCGGAGAGTGAAGGTAATGAGTGATGTAAGCAAATGTGAAAAGAAATGAATACGGTTGATAGCAAAGAATGGTGGAAAGCAGCACAGGAGGACGATTCGGCAGAATGTATGGAAAGGGAAGGGTTGGGTGTTTATTAGAAATGAATGAAAGGAGACGGGAATTGAGGGGATTGCAAAAATTCAGATGAAATTGTTGGTGCCGAACACATCGGCGGGTATGGTGATCGGCAAGAGCGGTGCACGAATCAAGGAGATCCGCGATCAGACCGGTGCCAACATTCAAGTGTACCCGAAAGCGGGCAGTCAAGAGGCAAAAGTGAGTTTGGAACGAGTGATAACCGTGGCTGCTGAGGAGCCGGATGTGTTGTTGAACGCAATCGAGCGTGTGCTGGAGAAGGTGGCGGCTGATCCACAGCATGCATCCACCACACTCGATCAGCACGGTAAAGACCTGGTGATGGACAATAGCTTCGGTGCATCAGGTGGCCACAATCCGCACAATCTTCACCATTCGCAAAATCAAGCGTCCACAAACCAACTGCAACATTTTGATTTCACAAATCGCCAGTCCAATAATCCGAATGCTCCCCCCACGTCTTCACTCTCATTCAGTTCAATGCAACAAACTCAATTCGCTAATCTTAATCAAGCACCGGGCGCACAAGTATGGCAACCAACTCAACAAAGACTCTTAGGTGAGCATCTCTATCGATCTATCTAAACGTATCTCAACAATCTAATATTGAATCTGCATTATTTCATACTTATCAACAACCTCTTATGTTCATACATAATCACACCACTTTTTTTCGCTATTAATCAAATCTTCTTTATACATAATACATATTTATCTCCAGCCGTATGTTCCATTTTATTCCATTTTCTTTAAAACATTTAAATCATTCACCTGAAGTGATGCGTAATAATGATGCGTTTCCAATGTGAATCAATCAATCAATCAATCATTTATCATGCATATCATGTCGCACATCTTGTCACGCCTTGCTGAGCAGTTGAAATCATAACAAGCTGATCCGAATGATCTGTCGTTGATATCGTTTTCATTATTATTGCCTCTCAATCGCTAGCCTTCCAATGCTGAAGCTCATTCTCGTACTCGAAGTCACTCCTTCAGCATATCGTATCTTTGAGAGCATGAACCTGCTGGCTATTTGGATCATTTGTATCCATCAATCAATCAGTTGACAAATCATGCATTCCATTTGTCAATTCCATTTGATAATGATGAAGATGATCGATCCCAGATAACCTTTGCCATATCACCGGCGCTGCTGGGTTGAAGCATTGAATTTTCAAGTATCCAATACAATGATGAGAAGCTGGAAATATCGGCTAACATTATGCAACAATATCATTGTTATGATTGTGATTAGTAGAAGAGAAACGTGGACGGTACATTTACTGGATATTGTTTTTGGGTTTAGTTTGTTGAGAGCAGTTTTGAAGTGTGAAAAAAAAACAGGATAGTCATTTCGTATTTGCATGTGAAAAGGAGCGCGAGCTAAGTGAACAAAACTCAGTTTTATTGAGGATGAATCGATCTCGAATAGAATTAAGCTTTCTTCATTGTTGATCATTCATTCAGACGCTAACTATGGAACACCAACAAAGGATATGTACTCGAATGGATCAGCGAATTCGTTCAAATTCAATCCGATGCAAGGACTCGGTAATCAGGAGGTGAGCAAAATAATTTCATTGCACTCATTCCGGAAACTGATCATTATTTGCTGCGTTAGAAATGGTCAAAACTCAGTAGCAACGATAGGACGATAGCACTGAAAATTATCTATAGTTTGAGAGAATCTTATAAGCAGAAGTATTTGCAGCTGTTGGCATTCCTCGACAGTCTTCAGTCCACACTGCGTACATCCGGATTCAATGAGGCGAGTGTTGCGGAAGTTATGCAAGCTATGCAGGTGATCATATTGCTTATTGGTGATCTTTTCATTCATTGTTTCCAATTTTTCATGTTTTTTGTTTGTTCAGTTATCGAATGATAAAAATTGAATGAATATTTTTAAGGTATTGGCCAAATACAACATAATGGGTTTGGGACTTGGCCTGGGAGTGGCTGCAATGGCGCAAATGCGCTCAAATGAGCCCAACCAAATGTCTGCGCCACCTCAACAACAAACACAACCGTTAATGCAACAGTCCAGATATGATGGAGGAAATATGGGTGGTGTTGGTGGATCGGGGTTAGGAGGGCCGAGCAGTCTGATGGATAGTGGCGATCGTCATTATTCTCAACATAATGAAGCTAATAAGGTTGGCAGAAGTTTTGTTCAGTCAGATCGGGGCTTTCCTTTCTCAATTTGAGCCTGTGTTGAATGTCACAAGGGAAAACTAAAACAAAGATGAAAATTTGGATAGTTCAAACAGAATACGTGAATGGTTGTGACGCGGCAGAAAAGCGAGTTCAATATGGAACTTAATCTTTAGATCTAAACGAAACGATTTATTTTTATGAACGAATCAGGCGATTTTCTTGTGCATTCAGTGCACAAGAATCATTTGTGTCTAATGGAACGTCGTGAACGAGTGAGATGAGTGACTAGTGTGCATGGTGTTTGAGTTTGAAATGCAGGAAGCAAATGTGTTTTGTTTTCAGTCGATCGGTGGTGTCGGTGGTGTACTGATTGATGTGATGAGTCAAAGTAAAGCAAATGCAAATAATTCGAACGCACCAAATTTCGCGGCTACAGTCATCAAAGAGAAACTCGTTGATAATGGACATGTGGAGTTGGAGGTATGTCTTGTGTTTTTACGTTCATATGGCATTGGTAAAACAGTGAACGCTTAATGTCTGGAGTAGATTTAAGTCTATCCTCGTTCATTGACTTCGGATTCAGGTACCGGACGCAATTGTTGGTGCAGTGCTCGGACCGAAGGCGAAGACGTTGGCTGAAATTCAGCATCTGAGTGGTTGCAAAGTTGAGGTGCACAAACGTGGCGTTATTGCTGGTCAGGGCAATCGTCTCATAAGGTTCCTTTTTTTTTCGTAATGTACTTGTTTTATTTGTCGGTTCAGCAGCCTTCAGATTGTGAGTTATTTTTTGCAAAAAATTCATTCAGTGCAAAAAAAAACTGTGTGATATATTGTGGCAGGACGGCAGAGATATTAGCCCTTATTGTGTATGTTTCTAGTTTGACTGGTGAAGCGGAATGTATTCG